ACGGGGCCTCAGCAAGTGGACCCCCTCCTCATTCCTACTGGACAGGGGAAAGAAAACAAAGCTCAAGAGTCTACCCAGCCAGCTGTATTTTGAATTTTATCCAGTAGGAAATTAAAAAAAAAAAAAAGGCCAATGAGTTAAAAATCTCAAGTGAGCTCTGAGCCAGGGAAAGGATCTTCAGACCACACTGCCCTGGAGGGGTTGCGTATCTCTGACTCTCAGGCCAGGGCTCAAACCCTCCTCACAGAGCCAAGCATGACACTGAGCAGCCCAGTGGGTCCCCACGCTGCTAGGGTCCTTCTTGGTGAGAGGAGGCCATGAGTAAGGGACGGGGGACAGGGTAGGTACCATGTTGGGCTTATTTAAGCTTCACTACACTCCTGCAAGGAGTGGATTACACATCCATTTTATGGAAAAGGAAATAGAAGATCAGAGAAGTAAAGTAACCCACTCAAAGTCATGAGCTAGTTAGGAGCAGAACAGAAAGGAGCATGCTCAAGTCTGTCACAATTCACGTTTTAAACAAAACATGACACTCTGACTTTTGGAGTAACCTGACTGCACTGCTGGCCCAGGGTGAGAAGGAACCACACCTGTGCAGTGAGCACCTTGGTGGACACACCAAAAAGCGGTGAGGGCAGGTGAGCCTCAGGGGATGACAGTGACGTGGCTGGGATGCACTTGGGGCCCACATGCACTTCTCCAGGCCTTTCACCCCACAGGCTCTGTTCGCCCTCAGCCTTGGACTGTTCTCGGGCCCTGCCCTGCCATCAGCTTCAGGGGCTCTCCCCTGCAGACTACCACCTGTTTCTGGCCACCAGCTTTCTCCCTCACCTCATGTATCAAAAGCCTCAAATGCACTCGGATCCTTTGACCCAGTAAATCCACACCAGGGAATCTGCCTAAGAAAACAGAGCAGACCATGCATGAAGATTTATATCAAGATATTCACCACAGTGTGGTTTAAAATTGTAAAATGTTATAGACAATCAAAAAGACCAGTATTAGGATAATGTTGTGGGCCTCAGCACTGGTTCCAGATCATGGGAACTCGATAAAAACTTGTGAGTGGGGACCAGACATTTGTCTTTTTAAAGCCCCACAGGTGATTCTGATCCACAGCTGGGGCTGAGAACTGCTGGGATATGTGCAGCCATTATAAATGATGTTTCAGAAGAGTTTTTATAGGATGTGAAAAAGGCTTACACATATGAAAAGGCAAAAACAAATTTGGGATACTGGATTGCTTTACCAGGAATATCTCAACTGCCTCACAGAAAGTAAAAAAAAAAGGAAATAAAGCAAAGCAAAAACAAATCAAAAACCCTAGAACTTTGGTGGAAACATGCTAACATGGTATCTTAACTCTAGATGATAGGATTATGTTACTTTACACATTTTTTTAAAAAACCAAGAGCAGGTGCTATTTTTATAACCAGAGAAACAACTAAAAGACAAGTGGCCCTGGGGAGGCCTGCCCACCCCTCAGCACTGTGCTGCTGGCCAGCCCACCCCAGCAGGCTCACCCGAGGCACCATTCTTCCCAGCCATGCAGCCATTGCCACCCACCACCCTCCGGCTCACACATAATTTGTAGCCATTATTATTATTATTATTTTTCCTTTTTGTCTTTTTTTCGTGACCGGCAACGGATCACAACCCTCAGTGTCATGCCCGTACCGGACTGGGACCGGCAACGGAATCGCAACCCTCGGCGGGAGCGCTGCTGCACTCCCAAGCGGCGCACTGTAGCAGTGCGCCACCTGGCCGGCCCTGTAGCCATTATTTTAAATAATCCCCCGAACTATCCTATACGGGGAAAAGTTGTTACCCCATTTTTCAGATGAGGATAATCTGCTGGAATTAAATCTATGGTTTAAAAACCATCTAGGTAACATGGTCATGACCTCAGGCTCAATGCTTAGTTGAAAAAATTCAGGCCTCCCAGCTTCCCTCCTGGCCTTACAGAAGAAAGGCGTTCTGGCATAGATGAATGGGACTGAAAGCAAGATGGATCTGCTGTGTTTCACTGATTCTAAGACAAACATTTTTTTCCCATTTTACCCTCTGAAATTTAAATGTGGTTTATAACTGATGGCATCCTTCAGTTGTAATTGGTGGAACTCTTTTCCCTTTCTTAATGGTTCACAAACTAATGGTATATCTTACGACTGAATGGTAGCTTAGGTTCAATGAAAAATGCCATGTCTACAGCCTAACCCATCACCTATCTACAAAATGATACTTTTAATGGCTACATAATATTCTGCAAAACCTTCATATGGATGTGCTTTAACTTACTTCACCAATTACTTATTACGGACACTTAGTCTGCCCCAACTTTTTACCATTATAAATACTGCTACTGTGAACACCTTGGTATTAAGTTTTCCCTTTTTCTGCTAGGAGCATCACCACCCTCTCCCAGGTTCCAAATCTTGGGAGACACTTTGACATTTCTTGCCCCCTGTTTCCCATATTTATCTATTACTGAGTCTACCCATTTTTTCCTTTTCCTGGTGTAACCACCTAAGGGCTCTCTTCTGAGTTCCTATAACATTCCTCTAACTGTTCTCTCTGCCTCCTGCTTCCCTTTCAGTCCATCACTATATTACTGCTTAAACCTGACTTCTGTTACGTCACATCTCTGCTCAGAAACTTATACTTCCTACAGGGTAAAGGTCACACTCTTAGCCTAGCCTCCAAGGGTTTGCCAAACTCGGCTCTAATCTCTCTCCATATTTCCATCTAAACCCCATTACTCCAGACAAAATGGCCTACTCATTGGCCATGAGGGCTCCTGCCACCAAGCCTTTGCTTACGCAGTTAACTCCACACCCATTACAGGAAGGGATGCTTCTGCCTTTCTTTTTTCAAATCTTAATCATCAGACTCAATTCGTTTAATCTTTTTAATGAAGGTTTTATGGCTTATGATGAACCTGCAGATGTAGAGAGGATAAGTAGTCTCAGCCTCATTTCGCAGGTGAAGAAACTTAAGTTTAAAGAGTTGCTCAAGTTAAGTTAAAGTTGCTCAAGTTTTATGCAGCTAAGTGGACAGCCAGGCTTTAAACTCCAGGGCTTCTGTCCTTAAACCCAGTGCCTTTAGACTCAAGTGCAAGCACAACCATAAACTCTTCTTGTGGAGCAACTTGTGTCCAGATCACATACCCAGCAATATGTACAGAGATTCAATAGCTCCTGGATTCTAGACACATACACGACAAGAATGAGGTAATTCTAAGAGTGGAAATGCACAGGTAATTCAAAAGGTTCATGGAAAAATGTAATTAAAAGATAATATGAACCTTCTGATGAACTTTTTGGGCCAGTTGTCCCATTCCCATTTTAGAGAGGGGAAGACAACAGTATTTTCCTTTATTTTGCCAGCTCTCAAAAATAGCACTGAACTTGATCGGTTTCATGGGGCCCAAAATCACGACAAAGAATCAGAGCCACCTCACTTTGAGACAAGCAGGGCCTGGGAACTTGCTTTAAGCTGAAAGTTTTTAGAAGACCTAAGGAAAGTATTTCTTGGGAGCAAAAAGCATGCATTCCTCCTGGTATGTGACCATGACATTGTCCAAAGCTGAGGCAGCCTAGAAAGTACAGCCCGAGTGCCAGATGGAAAATGAGGAAGGTGGTGTTAGGATCCTGTTACCCAAGCACCCACTGCCCACATTGTCCAAAGCTGAGGCAGCCTAGAAAGTACAGCCCGAGTGCCAGATGGAAAATGAGGAGGAAGGTGGTGTTAGGATCCTGTTACCCAAGCACCCACTGCCCCGGCCGCTTCACAGAATGTCCTGGGTGAAGGGCAAACAAGATGCTGGTTATCACTGTTTGTGTTTCACTTAGACACAGGAGGGAGTGATAGCAGCAGAAAGATAATCAACAATGTACAATTACGGCTTGTGAGGAAGTGTGATCAGATTCACCCTCAGCATTTTTACATGAAATGCACTGCCTGTCACCTACTCATCTTTTGTCATTTAATCTAATTAAATGCTATGGTTAAAACAAAAACAGAAACCAACAGCCCTGGCCTACAGGCAGTGCGGCCCGTGCAGGTCCCTGGCAGCCCCCTTCACTGGGCTGGATGTGGCTGCCGCCACTCCCCTGCTCAGGATGAGGGAGCCCTCTGAGAGAAGAGGCTGTCAGCACGGTTTCCTCCACCATTCTCTCCTGTACAGAGTTGACCACACTGACCTGGTCCCCAGGCCAATTTCTCCATTCTCCTTGGCCAGGAGGCCAACAGTAGGCTGATATCACAAGAAAGCTTCTCACTGAAGCTCAGAGAACTGGTACTATCTTTGGTTTCAGGGAAGACCTGATGTCTTTATATCCTCACAATAACTAATCACCTAATAAGGCAGGCAGGGGACCTGGATGAGTAAACTGAGGCTCAGAAAGATGGAAGGGCCATGGAGGCGAGTATTATCCTTTCCCAGTTCTCGTTGTACTTTTCAGTCATTTACACTAGGAAGGGAATCTCAGGATGCTTTGCTTTCTCAAGTGTGGAAGAGAGGTCCCTTCAAAGGACAAGGAGCAGTGAGGCACAGTAGGAAAGGTGCGGGCTTCGGGACTATCTGGCTCCTCCAGTGGTAAGTCATTTCTCTTCTCTGAGCCTTGGTTTCCTCATTTGTAAAGTGGAGCAGATCATTGCTACCCCACAAGCATACCATGAATCCTCAACGAGAACAGGTGGTTGTGAAGGGCCTGGCACTGTATCTAACACGTAGTCAGTGCTTATTGTCTGGGGAGTCTTAACATTCGTGGGAGTGGTGCATATCTCACACGTGACAGCACGGCTTCCTTGTGCTAAGAAGTAAGGCGGGGGAGGACACCACCCCCCTGACCCTCTACCACATACACACACAACCTCTTCTAGGAGAATGCAAAAACCAGAAGAATCATGGAATTTCTTGTGGCCCCTGAGGTATGTTTCAGGCCCCTAAGCCCAGACCAAGCATGGACTCTGCAATATCCCAAGAGGCTACTCACCGGCTCAATTTTCAGAGCATTTCGGTAGCTACCGAAGAAAGCAGCCTGGGCCTTGAGGAATGCTCTGGCCACACCATCGCCAGTGGTTGTGGAGACTTTCTTCAACCTGTTCTTCAGTGAAGAAATCTGGCAACAGAAAGAAAGGAATCACAGATTGAGGACAGGGTTGAAAAAGGATGGCTGTCTAAGCAAAGTACTTTCAGAGCTCTAGAAAATCCCTTGGCAGGGGTGGGGGGGAGGAGGGGCGGGGG